TGAAAGTTGTCTGGAACAAAATCAATAGACTTAACGGAACTTCAAATCTGAACGAAATCTGTACTCCCAATGGAACTTTAACTGACGCAGATGAGATTTCTAATTACTTTGGAAAAGTGTGGTGCGAATACTCCTCTGACAGCAATTTCTCCAGTGCTTTCATCGAAAATAAAAGGACTCCAATATCTCTTTCAAATAATATCGATAGATGTGCCATGTTCCTGGAAAATTGCGTATCTACCTCAGAACTTGGAAGTTGTCTCTCCAATTTGAAGGGGAAGACACCTGGTCTAGACCGCATCTCATACCAAATGATCAGTGCTATGTCTAAGTCTAGTAAAAAGAAACTATATAATATAGTATTTATGACTGGCCATATACCCTACATGTGGAAACTGGTAACAGTTGTTCCGATTCCAAAGTCAAAAAATGTCTCCTTCGCATCACATTATCGCCCAATTTCTCTTTTATCTTGCCTCTCTAAGGTATTAGAGAAGATTATGGCATCTAGATTATCTTGGTTTCTTGAGTCCAAGAAACTGATAACAAAGCAACAAGTTTGCTTCAAGCGGGGTAGAGGGTGCATCGACGCTCTGTTACATATTGATTATTTCACAAGCAAAGCAATTTCCGAACAAAATCACGTAACAATTCTCTCAATTGATTTCGAAAAAGCATTTGACAGAGTTGGTCTTCATGTTATCTTAAGACTCTTGAAACCATGGAATGTTGGACCCAAATTCTTCAACTTCATCAAATCATTCATGTCGCATCGGCGGTTCAAAGTTAGAATCAACAATCATCTCTCTGACTCCTTTCTGCTAAAGAATGGCATTCCGCAAGGATCTCCTCTCTCTGTCACGCTTTTCCAGATCGCTTTTGCTTTAGCAAAATTCTTTGCCGTGTACCAAGAGTAGAACATTGTCTCTACGCGGACGATGTATACATTTTTACAAAAGAAAAAGACAACACGAAAGCAATCAACATCCTCGAATCTATTGCATGTGAGATCTCCACATGGGCAAACTCGTCAGGAGCTAAAATTTCTAGACAAAAATCGAAAAAATGCACATTTGTCGAAAATAAATGTGCGATGCAGGAAATCTACTGATGAATATTAACGACTTACCAGTACTAAATGTGCAGACGCTCCATGTTCTCGGGCTCACGTTTTCCAACAATTATCGTTGGAAAGCACACTGTCTTCACACTGTACGTTGCTTGGAGAAGCCATGCGCATATTAACACTATTGCTTATCTTACCAAAATGCTTGTGTTAAGCAAGATTGACTATGCTATGATAATTTACGGCAATAGCTGCAAATCTAATATCAACATCCTTAAACCGGTCTATTACCAAGCCGTCAGAGCAAGTTGTTATGCTTTTCGGACGACGCCCATAAATAATATTGGAACTGAAACTGGTCTCTCAACTTTAGAAAATAGACTGCATGAGTTAAAAGCTAAAATAGTCCCTAAGCTTCTTAATTCAAACAAATCCACTCTCGGTGATGACGTAAGAAAGATTATTGTTGCGAAGAAAATTCCAAAGTCACCATCTGCAATTGACCATTGTTTGTACGTCGCAAAGGAATTAAAAATTCCCTTAAAAATTTTCCACTCTTTTGGTGTTAAACCTCCATGGATTTTGGAAGACTGCTCTCTTGACATCTCGCTGTCTATGCACAAGAAAGAAGATACTCCAAATTACGTCTTCAGGAATATAATAGCTGAAAAAACCCAAGTATTGGACAGTACTGGTTGGAATCTTTTGTAGACAAAAGATTCAAAATCTCCTGGTCTGTCTCCTGCTTGTGCGGTAGTAGATGCTACAGGACGGGTTCTTCTCAACCACATATTTCACGAAAGTACTTCAACTTTCACAACCGAAGCCAGACCTATTCTTCACGCTGCCAACCTTGCCCATAAAAACAAACTCAAAACCGTCATTGTTACCGACAGTTTGTCTGTATTACAAGCTACTCGGAACCCTTCGACTTCGAGATGGAGCACCATCAACAAATTAAGGAATATAATTACTACACCCGACGGAAAAATTAAAATGTTATGGGTACCAAGTCACATCGGTTTACTGGGAAATGAGCAGGCTGATCGAGCGGCAAAGTATGCTGCTTCTGCTCCTCTAATTATGGATGATGTCATGGAAAAGTTGGATCTTTAAAGATACATTGGAAGAAAAGTTAAAGAGAAAATTGCAGAAGGAAATTTACAATACCATCATCAACACTACTCTTGCATTAACCCTCAACTAACTCCACCTCTATACCCAACAAATGTTGAGAAAACCAAGATCCAAACATTCTCGAGAATTCGCCTTGGTCATACAATTGCAACTCACCAATGGATCCTGAAGAAGTCTTCTTCCCCAATCTGCTGTTGTGGACAATCTCTTACTATAAAGCACATTCTCTGCGACTGCCTCAACTTTTCCTTGGCTAGAAGTATTGCATTTGGAACGATTAACCCTTTGAACATTCTACAATCAGCTTCAGAACAGAATATCAATTCTATACATTACTTTATTAATACTACTAAGCTCATTATATAATGTGCATTTTATTATTATTATTTTTTTTTTTTTAATTAGGGCCGATAGCCTGTGTTGCTAGTGCTCAATGTCTTTTTTTAGTCTAAAAATTCATTTCATTAGTCTAAAATTAAAATAATAATAATAACAATGATATACAAAACATGTAAAATTATTGAAAAATGTAAACAAATGTGTGGACGCTTATTCTCAGATGGTTGGCATTTTTACAAATTATTATGTATAATTTATTCATTTCTTTTTATTTTATTTTATATTAAAGAGCATGCTTCCTTCTGCACCTTCACTCATCGTTTGAGCAGAATGGGATACTTCTGTAGGCCAATGGTAAGTTTGTGATCATCTTTGTATATAAAATTTATTAATCACAATATTTTTCTTTTGCAGATGTCAGCAAACCGGCATATCAGTAATTTTTATTTGTTTATATGTACGTATGTATTAGCGGGGCTTTTTATTTATTACGTATTATCACATATTATTTTGTATTACTATGTATTATTATTATTATTGTAAATACTATTGTAATTTCTAATTATGTATATAATGGTGTAGGCCTACTGGGGAGCCAGCCATTTAAAGCAATTGGCAACGCGCCTATCACGGTACCCCAAGGGTGGTGCGGAAAACCGTAATCAGGCTCTGCTCATTCTTCTACTTTGCGGTTATGTGGAAGAAGCCTTCGTGATGATGGTCGCTTCGTTGCAATTGGCACAATGTTTTCTGGTAGTGTTTCCATGTATATCGCTTTTAGTTTACAGGTAAGCTGTTGAGGATAAAATTATTTGCAGTCAAAAAGGTCATAAAAAAACCGAATGCAAGATCGTAAGGATAATGTGGCTACTGCAGAAAAAGATGTTGATGGTCGCACATGTTTGCTTTTATATAATTTAATTACTAATCAAGTTTTGGAACAAATCGATGGTATTATATCCACTGGCAAAGAAGCTGTTATTTTGCATGCTTATTCTAATTGGTCGGTGGAGAGTGAAAGTGCAGCGCATACATACATATATAAGAATTGTTTTCTAAGCTTAAATATTTTGTGTTTTCGTCTAAATACTTATAATAAAGTCGTTTTTAAGTTTAGATATCTTGTGTTAAGATATTATTATTATTATTATTATTAATTTCGCCAGAGGAATAAATTCTAAGACTAAACTCTTAAAAGCACTAGCATCTAAGGCTATCGGCTTTTTATTAAAAACTCTACCGCACTTGAGATTCGAACCCACGACCATTGACTTGCTAGTCGAGATTCCTCCCCTTCGGCTACTCAGGCGGATATATTATTATTATTATTATTAATTTCGCCAGAGAAATAAATTCCAATTCTAAACTCTTAAAAGCACTAGCACATTTAAGGCTATCGGCTTTTGTTAAAAACTCTACCGCACTTGAGATTCGAACCCACCGACCATTGACTTGCTGGTTGAGATTACTCGCCTCCGGCTACTCAGGCGTATTTGTGTTAAGATAAAAAGCACACTTTTCTTTAAATAAATAAATAAAAACCTTTGCATCAACTTCATCGCTTGTTGCGACGTGTCACTTCATGATTATAGTTCCTCTCTGTTGTTCTCTTTATTGTCTGTATATGTATAATAATGCATAATAGTGTTTTTTTTATTATACCTCCCGCCCCAATCGTGGGTGAAGTTTGGGTAATTTAAGCTCATAGTCAGCAGATTAAAATCTGCTATGCAGTCGGGTTCCGTTAAGATATTTTCAGCGTCAACTAGGTTCTTGCATAACTTCTTTACGCATAACAGGCATGTCTACGCCGAAAACATTATCCCAAAAGAAAACGTGGCGGTTAAATAACTCATCGTCGCCATAGCCAACAACGGAACAACGCTTATGATACAACGATTTGGGAGCAGTTTCCCTTGTGAAGCTAAATGGTTATCTCTAGCATATATTATTGTGTCCAGCATGCCCTCGAATAATAGAAAATAACTGATAATTCTTGTACACAAACTGACGCCATTACATAGTTGTTGTACTTGACGTGACTGCGCAGAACACTGCCTCTCAATGCACTCTACAAGTGATTTTTCACTTTTTCTCAATGATTTCTGACTACTCTTTGCACATAGAAGGCTCTCAATCAATAATTTAACATATTTTGAATGAACATTTTGTAATCTTTCAATTTTTTTCATTTAATTATCGATTCTATTCAAAGTTAAACTGGCAATTATTAACATAGTTTCGCTTAATTGCAGGAAAATCATGAAAATAAGTTTAAGGGAAAATAAATGCTGTTTTTTCATACAATTAAATAAAGGATTTCAAATTTATTCAAACCACCTGTACGAATATACGCAAAAATTAATACCAAATATTCAAAAATATGCCAACGTCGAACGGCAGGTCTCTAAAAATTTACAAAACCTAGTCAGAGTGCGTTTAAGGGAAAATAAATGCTGTTCTTTCATACAATTAAATAAAAGATTTCAAATTTTGAATAAAGAACACATATTAAAGCTGGAATGCAGAACGAGAGAGAGAGAGCCAAAGAATTCATTTGCATTGACTTCATGTTAAAGCTTTATGTCGAGGCCAGGCTAACTGTTATGATGTTGTTGTTTCTGCTTGACTAGCTGGTTTGTTATAATTTCTGGCATATAAAATTTATTTACAAGCCAATATTCTTTCAAGTACATATTCGGAAACCATTTTAATAAACAAAATAATCATTAGTCTTCAATTTCACCTAAATATAATGTCTTATCGCTAGAACCAGATAGAATTAGCGGTTCTTTAGAACTAAAATCTACATCATTGACACTGCCACTGTGACCTGGCAGCTTGTATAAAATTCTGCGACTTGTCGTATCCCAAATATATACGAAACGATCTGCTGAACCAGAAGAGATCTTGCTTCCGTCAGGTGACCACGCACACCGTAATAGATTCTTTTCGAAATTATGTTGATGTCCTTGGAAAATTTTGACGCAACGCTCGCCTGGCACATAAGGCCTTATATCCCATATTCGGCAGGTGTTATCCATAGAATTGCTAAGTATGTAAGAACCATCGGGTGATAAACTAATACCAGTTATCGTGTCTGCGTGGCCTTTCAAATGATGTAAAATTTCCTGTTTGCGAATATCCCATACTTTGATGCTATTGTCTATACCGCCTGATATAATTTGATCGCCTATATCATTAAAAGTGACTGAGGTCACCTGATAAGATGCCTCTAAAGTGTTTACAGACAATTTTTTGCGCGTGTCCCATAAACGTACAGTACGATCATCTGCCCCAGAACACAACATTTGCATGCCACGTCGAGTCCCATGCACCGTATTTACAAAATTGCTATGACCTTTTAAACGGCGTATACGTTGACTTGTCACTATGTCCCACATTGCTAAAGTTTTATCTGTAGAGCAAGTAAAAATTTGCGAGCCATCAGTATTAAAATGAGCTTCCAGAATTGCTCCGGTATGGCCAGACATAACCATTATATTTTCGGACTCTCCGTACACGTTCCATATAACTAAAAAAAATTTAAGGAAAATAAAGAGTGAAGCTAGTTGGGCAGTACCGAGCCAACAGAACTTACATATTTGACGGTCATAGCCAGAAGAAAGTAACATTTCACCTTTCGGATGAAATTCTGTCGTATAAATTTCGCCCTGGTGTCCTTCCAATAACAAAATTGGTGCCATCAAATTAGATGTCCGACGCACTCCCTGTATATAAATAAATTATATATGTGTATTGTTTCAGATTTAGAGGACTATTACTTACAGATTCCATTAAAGCCTTATCTCGATTGGTATATCCCATAAGGTCAGTCTTTGCTCTTTTTAGCTCCTGGACCGCCACCATATTGCTACTAGAACGTTTTAAAGACATTTTAATTGATAAAAAATAAAAGACAATTAAGTAAAATTTTAAGAAAGTTCCCTTATTATTTAGTTTTAACAAAATAAGTAATCGGTGTTGCCACTAGAGGAAAGATTACGAGTAATGAGTCGAATAAGAGGGTTGACGCAACGGTGCATAATTAAGTGTTTCGGGTTAGTAAATCCTAAGCGTTACACGCAATGAGAAGCCGCGTTACAATACCATTTATAGGAAAAAATAAAGAAATCGATGAAAATATAAACAAAAACAAGGTATATGTAAACGGCAAATAATTGAAAAATAACGATAAGAACATTAAAATAAAGGCAAATTAAATTTTTGATTGATTAATTAAATAATGAATAGTGAAAAATGACCAAAAGAATCGGAACAAATATATTTTGTTTTATTCTCTGTCATGGACTTTTTTGTTTTTGAACTTTTCAATTTTTGCTAACATTATTATTATAATTTATCTAGACCAAGGAGACTCTAGGACTAAAGAGTAGGATGAGCACTGGCAACCAAGGCTCTTCTTTTCTTAAAAGGTAGACTGGATGGTATCTTTGAATTTTTTGCATATTTCTATTGATGCTCCAGCAACATTCATCCTACACTGTTCAATTTATATACCAACGGTGATGTCTGCACTGTTTCTTGGCCGTCGTCCGGTTACTGGTTTCAAATGCGTTTTTGGACTCAAGTGCGTCAGATGGGATATATGGCCTTAATTATTAAACAAACTAGAAGGGAGCGGCGATGATATCAACGCCATGTCACGGCAACGACGAAAACAACGAATTTCATTAAAATTGTGCCCCTCAAAATTTGGGCTACAAAGACCCTCCTTATTTTAAACAACTACCATTGTTTTTCACTTTATTTTAATGTAAAATAACACCTTGAGACGGTGAGCAATTTACATCATACGCGAAAATTTGTTTCAACGTTTTCAGCAACATCACCAGTAACTCCAAAGTTGTGTATACTTTTCTGGTTAGCAAATTTACATAAGTGTAGATGCTAGTCTATCATTGTATCAAGAAAATGTTTTTGATCTTGGATGCGGTTCTCAGGAATGAGAAAAAAGACTGAAAAGATACTACATACATATAGATGTCTCCTTCATAAGGACCACGGATGACCAAATTTCTTTTATATATAGTCGTCTATATTTTGTTTCGGCAATTAATAGTTTAATTTTTTGTTGAATTTCGTGGCTATTCTGCCTTATAGAATTTATAATATACTTTGAGAAGAAAGTGAGTGAATTCAAAGTAAAAAAAATTTTTTTCCTTTACGCTTTGATTCATTGGATTTTTGCAAGCAAAAATTTTGAGCTCTGATATAAATCTCTCTTTTTTTTTGTTTTTTCTCTGTTATTTTTTTTGCTGTTTGTAGTTTGTTTTGCTATTGATCTCTCGTTACAGCGTCAACGTAACAGAGAAGTTTTGCACAAATTGGTTGATAAATTTTTACATTGCGGATTTTTTTTTTTTCTTGCGATGTGTCTGTCTGTTATTTATAATCCACAACTGCCTTTTTAACTGGATATGGAGTGTTTATACACACCTTGTCGGGCGAAAACGGGCCCGGAGTCTGATCGACTCGTTTCTTGTTGGCTCTGCGAGCGCTTTGATCACGCAAAGTGTGCCAGTATTCTCGGCCGTGCTGCTGACGCAGTCGGTGACCCGTCTAAAGGCTTAAGAAGGTCATGTCCTGACTGTAAGCAGCGGGACATTGACTTTTAGAAACTTTTCACGGAGACTCGTAATGGTTTCTCGGAACTGAGTAGAAATCTCGGCCCCTTGTGGGAAAAGTTTGAGTTAATTAAGTCTAGGTTTGATGGGTGTCGTTTTATCGAGCACTCATCTTCTAATCGTAGCGTAGCGTGTGGGACGTCACCTCTGACTTTCTCCAAATCTGATTCGTTGGTACAAGTTACCGCTCCCTCCCGTCCAATTTAATTGAATTTCCCACTTCTCCTGACATTGGATTTATCGCTATTCGTGCGAATATGCCTGATAAGCATCTATTTATAACCTGCTCCTATATTCCACCAAATTCTGATATCTCCATTTGCAAGATACACGCTGCCCTCATTTGTGAAGTTGCCAAGCGGTCTAGACCCACCGATTTGGTCGTTGCATTGGGTGACTTCAATTTGCCTCAAGTCAATGATGTAACACTGATAATTCTGGCTGTTTGGTTCCTACTTCAACGTCTAATAGGGCTGTTGTGTTCTTTAGTGAATTGTTTGATCATAATTTGGGTCAATACCCAAATTGTAATGGTAGACTGCTTGATCTCTTCTTTGCCAATTTTCCTGAGATTAACGTAAATCGTTGTCCACCTTTTAGTTTACCTGAGGATCCTTGTCATCCATCAATATGCATTGCCTTTCATCATATGAATGATGGTTTGTTGAAATGTCTTAATGTGCCAAATCAAACTTTTTTAAATAATTATTATGATTTTCATAAAATCAATATTGTATTGCTAAAACAGCGTCTTTCACATTTGACGCTTGATTTCTCAACCGGTAGTATTGAAAGCTTATTGTCATCGTTCTACAATACATTAAATCTAGCTATTGCTGCATCTGTTCCGATCAAGCAGTGTCGACCTTGAAGCAGGTGTCCCCCGTGGTTTAATAAGACAATTAAATATCACAAGAATAGAAAAAACTCGCTATTCAAAAAATATTCGAAAAGTGGTTTTGCGCTCGACTATGTCGCTTACTCGGTGGAGAGGCATAGATTTAACTCCCTCAACCATCATTATTACTGCAGATACCTTCAGTCCATTAAATCCTGTCTGTTTGCTAATCCTAAATTCTTCTTTAAATTTGTTAACTCTAAACGAAAAATTTCCACATATCCCTCTAATGTTTCTTTTAATGGCTCTGATTCCTCGGATGATTTTGAAATCTCAAATCTATTTGCTGAGTATTTCCGACGAAACTTTTCGATTGATAATTTCGATTTATCAACAAACTACCCATATCCTATAACTAACTCGGTTTCAATACCTAACTTGGTTATTTCAGAAGATGACGTTTTTAAAGGGTTGAGTTCTCTAAAATACAGTTGTTCGCCTGGACCTGATGGAATTCCATCATGTGTACTTAAATCTTGCGCTGTCGAGTTATGTGGTGTGATCTCAAAGATTTTTAACATGTCCTTATATTTAGGTGTTTTCCCTTCATGTTGGAAGAGTAGTTTCCTTATTCCTATCCACAAGAGTGGAATTAGATAATTTGTTGAGAACTATAGAGGCATAGCCAAGTTGAGTGTCTTGCCCAAGTTGTTCGAGCGTATTGTGACTCAGCATTTGGCCTTTCCCATTAATTCGTATATTTCTCCGCACCAGCACGGTTTCCGGAAAGGGCGATCTACAGTCACCAACTTGTTAGAGTTTACCTGTCATGTTTTCAAGGCTTTTTCTAATGGCTCTCCCACAGATGTTATTTACACTGATTTAAGCAAAGCATTTGATATGGTTAACCATAGACTACTTATCTTTAAACTCCAAACCTCTGGTTTCCCACCCCACTTAGTGAAATGGATAAGCTCTTACCTGCACAATAGATCCTTCAGGGTTTTGTTCAACTTTATCACCTCAGATGAATTCCCCGTTACGTCTGGCGTACCTCAAGGAAGTCACTTAGGTCCCATTTTATTTAGTTTATACATTAACGATCTCCCATCGGTGGTTAATTCCAGCCAGATCTTAATGTATGCTGATGATGTGAAACTGTTTTCTTCTTTCTTTGTTGAATCGCAATCACATCAGCTTCAAGGTGATTTGGATAATTTTGTTGCATGGTGATCTTTGAATCTTCTGAAACTAAATCTGAGTAAATGTAAGAAGCTTTCATTCTCAAGAAGAAAATCATTCATTACTCAGTATTTCATAGATTCGCATAAGTTGGAGGACGATTCGATCACAAATTTAGGCGTTTTATTTGACCATAGGTTACGTTTTAACTTGCATATTGAGCTCTCGATTAGCAAAGCTAGGTCCGCGCTTGGTTTTATAAAAAGGTGGTCCAAAGAGCTTGGTGATCCCTACATTACGAAAAGGCTGTACAAGTGTTTGGTTAGACCCATACTCGAATATGCCTTTGTTGTGTGGTCTCCTTCATATAGGTGCTATGTAGATTCTTTTGAATCTGAATCTGCAATACTTGGTGTTTGCCCTTAGAAATTTGGGTTGGGATTCGATTGCCTCTCTTCCTCCGCATGAAAATAGGTTGCTTCTGGTGTCCTTACGGTCTGTTGAGAAACGTAGGTTTGTTCTTGGCGTTTCCTTTCAATTAAAGTAATAAATGGTGCCATTGACTCGCCTTCATTACTTGGTGAAATAAGCTTTAATGTCCCTAACCGCTTCTCTAAGCACTTTATCTTGGTTAAGCTTAGTCAGTGTAAATTTAATTATGAGCTCTTCAATCTGCTCAGAGTCCTTTGCAAGAACCTAAATGACGTCTACCACTTATTCTCGTTATAGGACTCTTTAAAGTTCATTAAAGCAACATTGCTTAATACGCGCGATTTACCTATGTCGTACTTAAACTAGCTTTTATCCTTAAAAAGTCGTTACGTTTCGAAAATGAATTATTGTCAATTTATTATCGGTTGCTAGGCTTATGCATGTTTACGATGGCTTAGGGGTTCATTTGCAATTTGGTCCTGTACCGGTTGTAAGTGTGGCCCTATGCTGATAGTGTACATGCTTTTTTTTCTTCTTATTTGTTTTATTATACTTATACTAAATTTTATTATTAATTAATATAAGTTTTGCATTAAGAGCCAATTGAACTCGACTGTTATTTGTTTAGTTGAGCTTCTAGTATAAGTAGAATAAATAAACGAATAAATAAAAAAATCCCAAAATTTTAATTGTCATATCACTGCAAGGTCCAACTATTATTAAAATGCGACATTGTCCATCAGTTTTCCTTCTTTTTAAATAGGTCATTTTATTCGCTTAAAAAGAAATAGTTAAAAAATTTCATATCTAATAGCGGCCCGTGAAGGCATTGCTATGTGCGAGCAAGTTGTGTTCTTTGAAATTTTAAAAGCAGCCTCTTAATGTATACTACTCCATCATCGAAACTAATATATATTTGTTAAATTCATTAGTATCTAACTACTATGTTATATTATTGTCTTTATTTTCTTTGTTGTTAATTCGTTCGTTAAATGTTTAATTGTTGTTAATGAAAAATAATCCGTTGAAGTTGCGTCAAGCTGAAAAATAATCCGTTGAAGTTGTATCAGAATGAAAAATAGTCTGTTGAATTTGTATCAGAATAAAAAATAATCCGTTGAAGTTGTATGGAAATGAGAAAAATCTATCATTGGTATTAAATGCTAACGATGTTAAAGAAATTTTCATATTAACGCTGAAGGATAGAATGGAGAGTCCTGTGCTGTCCATAACGAACCAATTTGCTGTGGTTCTTTTCGAGTTTGGCGCGTGTCAACGACAACGTATAAGTGGAATACAGCGGTTCAAATTTGATACCCTCTTGAAGTCGATAGCAACATAACTGTACTTATGACGAAATATTGACATCATATTATTTGAAGCCGTCGAAACGCGTCAGTTATTCTAAACTCTTCAGCGAGAATGTACTGTAAATTGTGACAGTGTGAAATGCAGCAGCATCAGCGTCAGCATCATGCTGTAATAGAACTTGCATATAGAACGTAGCATGAAAATGTTGTTTCAATTTTCTACACTACCTTCATAAAGTAGGTTGGAACGAATAATTAATTTAATTCAATATTAAAAATTGTGCATTTACACATTCATAATCAATTTATCCGATCGTCGACAGATGTTTTTACTTTTAAACTCGTAGAATTTACTGGATTTCACCATCTTGCAGTCTTCAAAATGTTGGGCGAAACTGGCTGTGCAATGGCTCAAGCAAACAGTATAATCGGCGTAGGTATTCTGGCAATGCCTTTGTGCTTTCAAGAAGTAAGTTTATAGCCAGAAATATGATAGCAGGCAACTAATAAATTAGGTCTTAGATTCTGCTTAAGAAATAATAAACTTGACGCATATCTCGGGATTCATTTACCACACAAGGTCTGGAATTTTGAAAGTAAAGAATAAAAACAACCTTAATAAATTTTCATAAACAACATACGGTCGATCAAATGTAATAATAATAATATCAATTAATTATTACTACCCACAAATTAACGCATTATTCGCAGAATTAACAATAAAACGGTTTAATATGTATGAGTGGCCTTAAGATGAATATAATATTCTTTCTTTTAAAGCCCTTGACATAGCTACATCCGAGCAATTATTAGATTTAAAAAATATTAAACATTAACCAAAGTTTTTATGTGTAAAAAATGTTCTTTGTAGCGAATACAGCTCATCATGTTTTAAATACATTCCATAGCATTTAGAACGCAACTAAAGTCTTTGAAACTTTAATGCTTGTTCAAAAAATAAACAGAGAGCGTTTGAATTGACTCTGAAATTTGAAAAGTACACAATTAATCCTTGTGGGCAATAGTAACCGAAGACTGTATATGCACCATTAAGAAAAAGAGTACCTTACGTAAAGGAAAATTGTTACCGAAAGTGAATATAAAGTTAAGAGAAGGGTAAACGGGGGCAGTCCAAAAATAAGCAAAATCGCTTAAATTTCGGGCCGAAACTTGTCGGTGTACCAACTTTTATCAAAAATTAAGATCTGCAGATTCAACATGGGACAAGTAGACAGACAGACAAGCTTAAATCGATTTAGAGTGATTCACAATTGGTTTGTATTATAAAAGTTGGTCCTTCCGGATGTTGCATACATTCGGATTAGATTAATGTAACCTTGTACCACTCTTGTACCTTGGAGCAAGATATAAAAAAAGCTAATCGCTATGTAAGTGAAATTATATTAAATAATTTGAACTATGTTGCAAGATTATCAGCATTAGATTGATTAATATTAAGATTTGTCCATTTGTAATAGCTTTAGTATCAATTTGTTTCTCACAAAATTCCGGTCCACAAGTTATTATATTTTCTTCTATTAAATATTCTATTAAATCGTCGTGATTTTGTAGTGAATGGATTATTTCGTATTGGTTTTTTTTTTTAATATCATTGGAGGAATAACGGTTAAAACCGATGGATCTGCATAAAATAAGAGTTTTCCATTTAATCTTATGGACTTATTCATCGTAAGCCGACCATGGAGCGATAAAAGGAAACGGTTTTCTCCACATCCTTTGAGGTACCGTGATAGGCACGATTTCAATTGTTTTGAATGGCTGGCTCCCCGTAGGCTTACACCATTATAAACTTTACTTTAAAACTATAACAATATTGATAATAATACATCTGGCAACCTCATGTGTGTCGAAGTATTACTAATCGCTGCACAAAATTTTTATTTTACAAAGTTTTTATTTTATAAATTTATTTGCATAAATATTCTTATATTTGCAAATGTATATGGTTTACGAATTCCCGAAGATTTAAGCAATGTGTGTGTTATTTTTTATTTTATACATTGCATAACATATAAATTGTGGTTTTTGGCTATTTTCTTCTTTTCTTTGTGCGCGTATAATATATTGTGGTTTTTAGAAATTTTTGTCTTGGTTTTCATAAAAAGTGCTTGAGTGTTCCAGTTTTTTGCCCAGGCGGCTTGTTGTTTTATACATTTTGTCAATTTTATTTTTAATAAATTTTACAGTTTTTCCAACCTGGTTTTGCTGCTTTTTATATATTTGTTGATTTATTTATAACTTTTAATATGGACTGCTGTTTTTCAACAAACGTAAAAGTAGTGATGAATTATTTTTGTTTTGCTGTTTAGAGGAAAGCAATTTGATTATACTAATTTTTGTACGTATGGGCTGCGATGGACTTGCCCTAATTGTCGTGATATGTATGTTAATGTGTTTAAGGTAATCATGCAAACACGTACTGGCTTTAAAGATGTAAAATTAATAATGAATGACTGTTTAAATAAGCTGGCTATGATTGAAGATAACTTTTCTAAATGCAAATACCTCGAACGGCCTGAATTGTTACCTCACAATGTTCGTTGGTCGCCTGCATCGTCAATAGTTTTTGTCGACTTAACGACTGACAAACTGTCAACTGATTGTGCTTGTAAAGCATCGGTAGAGGCTTCTATTGGTACTCCTGTTTATGCGGTTCCTAATAATAATTTGAATTTGAATAATAATAATATACCGGAAGTGGTTGTAAACAGTCCTAGTTCAGATGGGCATAAGACGCCTCAGGACGTTCCAATTTCCATTTCCCCGTTGCCTCGAATCGCGGTGGCTCAGTCTAATGTTAGAATAGTAGATTCGTTAGTGACCAAGAAAACGGATGGGCTATGCAATCATGATTCGGTTGAGTTGGTTGCAATACCTGCGCGGAAAACTATTTTTGTGTCTAGATTATCCTCGGATCCTACGACTGAGAAAGTTTTGAATTACATCCAAGCTTACTATTTCGGATCCATCAATGGTTAGTGTTTTCAAGTTTAATGTTGCACTTAAGCCTGACATTTCATGTTTTAAAATAGTAGCACCTGCTGCGATGTTTGATAATCTTGTTAAAAAAAGTGTCTGGCGGGAAATTACTTTTGTTAAAGAGTTCGTGGTTCCTAAAAAGACCAGATCTCCTGCTAATCTTGATGAACCTTTTGTGTCTTCAAAAAACTAGATTTGCTAATATTATATCAAAACTTTCGTGGTTTAAACACAAAGCTACAGTCGGCTTTTCTGAGTTCAGTTGGTACTGACAATCACGTAGTGGTGTTTACGGAAACGGGGCTTAAACCTGATATTAATGACACTGAAATATTTTGTTCTAGATTTCAAGTGTATAGACATGATAGAATCGAAAGATTAGGTGGTGGTGTATTAATTGCCGTCGATAATTGTTGCGCATCGTCAATAGTCAGTTTTCCTGTGACTGTTGATGTAGAATTTATTTGCGTAAAAATTGTTCTTAAAAACTGTATGTTGTATATAGTTTGCTCTTATACCCCTTCAATGTCTGACATTTCTATTTTCTTTAAATATTTACAACTGATAAAATTCGTGGTGAATGATCTAAAACTCTCAGATAAAATTTTGGTTTTAGGAGATTTTAATTTACCGTTTGTATCGTGGTGTTGCGACGAAGACCTTGGTTATTACACTCCTGTATCTTACCCCTTGCTATACACTGACTTTTTTGAAGAACTTTACGAGTTATGTCTATTCCAAAATAACTCAATTGTTAATAATAATAGTAGACTTTTAGATTAAATTTTTTTTAACTACTCAAACGTAAGTATAACTCGTGTGGATCCGTATATTTTGCCTGAAGACATACATCATCCTACATTGGGGATAAATTTCGGCAATCTGCAAACTATGCAAGTCCTTAATAAGACTTGTAATAAAAGATATATATTTAGGAAAACCAATTATAATAAACTTCATAATATTCTGAGTAGCTTCCACTGGAACTTAGAATATTCTGATTTTGAAGGTTGCCTTGATTCTATTTATAATATTGTCTTATATGTTGTAACTAAGTCGGTACCTACACATTCAAACAGTTATTCATCAATTTATCCTATTTGGTTTAATAAACATCTTAAGCTGATCAGAAATAAAAAGTGTAGATCGTTTAAAAAATTCAAACGTAGTGGACTCGTTATGGATTATATACGTTATTCGGATGCTAGACGTGAATACATCTTTGAAAAAAATAAATCTTATGCAGTGCATTTGCAAAGGATGAAAAGTCAATTATTTTCTAATCCTAAATGTTTTTATAAATTTGTAAACTCAAAACGTAAAGTTAATGGATTTCCATCTGTAATGAGCTATGAAAACGTTGAATCAACGGATCTGTCTGTTATTAGTAATTTCTTTGCAAATTTTTTCGAAAAAACGTTTTCAGCTAATAGTTTGACATATGAGAAATATCCTTATTTTATTAATTTTTTCGATCATTTTCTACCTATTACTTTTACAGAAGCTGAAGTTTTCGATGCTATGCGAAAGGTAAAACTTTTCTATTTAGCCGGCCCAGATTTGATTCTCGCTTGCATCTATCGTGCTTGCGGTAATTTTCTTTATGTTCCATTAACCAGTATATTTAATAATTGTATTAGATGCGGTTACTTTCCTACTATTTGGAAGAGACGTTTTATTATTCCTTTATATAAAAAGGGTCCTAGAGGAAACATTGACAATTATCGTGGGATTGCTAAGTGTATTACCGAAGCTCTTGGAATCAGTTATAGTTAATAAACTAAAACCATGCTTACCCATGATTTTGATTGTTTGCCAGCAAAGATAAATCTACAGCCACAAATTTATTAGAACTGACTTGCTCTATTTTTAAATCTTTTTCATTATATAAACAAACGGATGTTATCTATGCTGACTTTTCGAAAGCTTTTGATAAGGTGGATCACAATTTACTTATTTACAAATTACGTCTTATGGGCTTCCCTAATAATTTGGTTTGTTGGTTTCGGTCTTTTCTCACAGGTCGTACTCAGATGGTGTCCTTCAATTCAACCTACTGGCGCTCAATTTCAGTTACATCTGGTGTTTCTCAGGGCAGTCATCTTGGACCCTTGTTATTTGTTTTATTTATTAATGACCTTCCTACCTGTGTTAGCAATTCGTCTGTTTTAATGTATGCCGATGTTGTCAAACTGTTTTATTCGTTGTGCCCGACTAATGACGCTTGCGCCCTTCAATTTGATTGAATGCTTTTCAGTTGTGGTGCTTCACGAATGGAATGTCTTTGAATTTAAAAAAGTGCAAAAAAATGTCATTCTCTTGGTCTGCTATAATCCCATCCAATTATTATTTTGGCAACTGTGTATTAGAAAATGTGTCGTCTTTTAATGACCTTGGAATTATTTTTGAGATTAAACTTACATTTGGATAAATCAGTTAACAAAGCCAAATCGCTCTTGGGGTTCATGAAGCGTTGGTCGAAAGAGTTTTGTGACCCATATATTACGAGTTTTGTGACCATTATATATACCCATATATACATCGTTAGTTAGACCCACATTAGAGTATTGTTGTATTGTCTGGTCACCATTTTATATGTGTCATATTGATCTTATTGAATCCGTCCAACGTAACTTTTTATTATTTGCTTTACGAGGCCCAGGTTGGTATTCTCATCTCCCCCTACCTCCTTACCTACTTTAGTGAAAAGACGTGAGCTACTAGATAAATTATTTATGGTTAAATTATAAAAGAGGAGATATTTACTCTTCAGTTTTGCTTGGACAATTGGATTTTAATGTGCCTGAAAGATTCACTAGACACTACGTTCCGCTAAAGTTGTTGCATTGCCGTACTAACTATCACCGTAATAACCCGCTCCGTGCGCTTTGTAAACTTTTTAATGATAATTTTCACAAATTTGATATTTCAGTTAATTCTTTCAATTTTATAAAAATTTCTATACTTCGCGATTAGGTGCCAAGTCCGTCTGTATCTGTCTAATGCCCTCCTACTTTTCCTCAACGCACTCCAGCTAGCACGTTCACCTTAGCCACTCATCGCGGCTCATCTATAAACAGAAAACAAACAAAAAAAAAAAAAACCTGACCGTTGTGTGAAGCAGCAGTTCCAGCGGCAAAATCGTTGTTGTTGTTGCTCCCAATGGGCTGTCCCAGGATGAGATGCCGACGCCAATTGAGGTTTCCTTATTTTGTAGCAGCCCCAGCCCTTAACGCCTTTTATCCTAACGCAAAGAACCGTCACACCTTTCTTATCCTCTCTCCGATCAGCAATTTTTACAGTGATAGCGACGACAAATGGTGTGGTCGTAAGCAATTGTTTCATTAAATCTCTTTACCACGTTTTCCATCCTTTCCTTTAAATCTACTCTTTAGTTAAACCGAATTGTTTTTTTTTCTTCACACGTTTGCTTAAAAATTAATTCAGTAACAGTTTCCTCAAAGGTCGTAAATTTTCTAGTCTACATCACGTTAAAGTATATTAATGTATCGGGAACTTTTCACTTCGGCATTTCTTGATTTACTTCATAGGCAGTTTCACTGATATCTTTGTTTTTTTTTACATACGTATTTCTTGCAAACTGTAGTAATAAAAACTGCAAATATTTTATTTTCACAGTTTGTTGGTTTATTATAAATTTTGACAATTTTACAAAGCAACTTTTTCACATTTCTCAACATTAGGTGCTTAGAAAACCTCTTTCATTTATTTAGAGAAATAAAATTACTGTCTTTGCATTTATTTGCTTTTTGTTTGGTTTCAGTTTTGTTTTGTTTCTCGTTAATGCTATAAGAACCTTTATAAGTAGAACAAAAGGTTCACTTAGTGCTATTAGTTGTACATAAGTGTATATAAATTTAACTTATTCATTTGTCTATATATATACATGTATTATTTATTTCTTTCACCACGTACATAGGTAATCCATCTGATGGCTGAATAATTTACAAAGGCCATCTAATATTTGCAATTACATCCACACATCTACACATATCATTTTTTTTTTTTATATTTCTTATAAAGTATTTCTGACAACCGCTTATCGATTGCGAAATCAAACGCACCATGTTAAATTCACAATCCTAACATTTACTAGTTTTCATTCGTTTATTTTTTCATTCTAACAGAGAAAAAACAAATTTACTTCGGCCGCTACCGCTTGACTTTCTTTCCTGAAGATCAAAAACTGACTGACTCCCAAACTCTCCTTTCCTTCTTTTTTCTCCTTTTTATTTCTTCTTCTTCTTTAGCGCCAAGCCGCTATTCTTGCGATCACGCGATTTTGCATAACGGGGCGCCGTTATTACTACACTCGTGACAAAAGCAGACCGACAGACCCCTTCTCTGACTTTGTTCGCGCAAGTTACAATATATAAGATAAATAAATAAATATACGGCGGCATGCTGCTTCACAGTGGTGGTGGGTTGGGCGGTTTTTGATATCTGCAAAGGTAAATTAATGTAATTACTAAATTTTATATATAAAGACGATCACAAACTTACTATTTGGGCTGCAGAAGTATTGCACACTGCTGAAGCGATAGTGCAAGTGTATGCTTGTTTTTTTAACCTAAAATAAAATAAAAGAAATGAATAATTTATACATAATAATAAAGGGTAAATGCAAACTTACCTTTGACATACAGCGAACCTTCATCTATATGAGGCGATGAGCGGAGCAACTTGGACTTGATTTTTATCATAACCTAAAATGGAATAATAATAAAAAATTTATAAATTTGGAATAACGTATGCCCTATAATCCCATATAAATTACCATTCCGTATTCACGGCTTCCTTTTTTATTTAGTCACCTAGGAACGTATCCCATATAAATTACCATTCCGTATTCATGGTTTCTGTATTCGCGGCATTTTTATGGAACGTATCCTCCGCGAATAAGAAACTTTTACTGTATTTGGATTACCTTTTGTTTGCTTAGAATATTGATACGTTGTAAACCGGTGACTCCCTCCAATTATTTCCGGTTAGCAGCATTTGGACGATGTACCCTAGCAGATGTATTCGATAGCTACTTCCGCTCTTGTAGGATCCGTTACCTCCAAAGAAGGCAAGGCATGCCACTATGGTCGCCTGCATGCGCTCGCCTATGTTTCCCTCCAGCACATGTTGGCGCATAGTCGCATAAAAAATGTCGTAGGCGCTGGTAAATGCTTCATGGACGTCTGCTTTCGGGAATTCTGCTTCCAGATATTCGCTTGTGAGGATGACATTGTCGCTTGGCTCCGCCGTGACAGTGTCATCGCTCACTTCTTTGCACGCGTCTTCTTTCCTTAGGGTGAGGTCCTTGAGGAATGCTTGGCGTCTTAGCTGCTCACGTATGTACTAAGCAATTCCGTAGTCCGTGAACAGCCGCATGTACTCCTCCTCCTTTATGATTTATCGACCAGTGACTAGATAGTTAAACACCACCCCATCCAGGCCGAAAGGTCGGCACTCTTCTTCGGCCTGGTCTAGCACTCTGTAGTCCATATCGTCTATGAGGTGGTAGTCATGAGTTGTCCTGGAGACGCTTCTCCAATGTGTGACCTGCGAGTAAATTAAACGTTCCGCCGATCTGGTCCTTTTTCTGCAAGATAGCGCCATGTTACAAAAGAACGGCTCCAAAAGATCCTGGCTTACCTTGTAGGCCGCGATAGTTAAGCCAGGGTAAGCCTCCAGCAGCTCA